TTAGGGTTTAGGGGTTTAGGGGTTTAGGGGTTTAGGGGTTTAGGGGCTTAAGGTTTAGGGTTTAGGGTTTAGGGTTTAGGCTTCTTTGCGGTTCGGGGTTGGGTTCAGGTTCTCTTATCAAAGTTCAGGGTTCAAGGATGCATTTGTTTTCTCGCTTGTTGGTACTACACTCAGTTTTCAGGTTACGTGCTTTCTTTTAGGGTTTCGTTTTTTTCGGGCATCAGTTTCGAGTTCAGGTTGTGCCGTTTTTTGGAGGTGTCCAGAGCTCAGGTTTCCGGGCTTTAGAGTTTAGGGTGTGCAGGGCGTGCAGGGTTATTTTCTTTTGGGGTTTAGGGTGTATGTTCTTTCTGGGTTTAGCGGCCTGAGGCCCAGCTGTCGGTTTGGTTAAGGCTTTTTATTTCTTTTTAGCTTCACGGTTTCCGGCTTCCGGATTGGCGTTTTGGTTTTGTCTCTGCAGGGCTTCAGGGCTCGGGGTTTCAGCTTTTTTTCCTTGTTGCTTGGGCATTGGGAGTTGGGGTTCAAGCGTGTAGGTTCCGGAGGCTGTGTAGGATTCAGGGCTTGTGCTTCGTTCTTGTTTAGGGTTTAGGGTTCTAAGAGTCGCCTTTTTCCTGGTTCTGGGCCAAGGTCTCAGGTTGAAGAGGTCAGGTGTGGGGTTCCGGCCTTGCAGGTTCCGGGTCGAGGCTTCGGGCTTCTGGGTGCTAGCATCTGGGCTTCAGGCGTGTGAGGCCGTGTTGTGGGAAATAAAGCCCCCAGAAGAGCCTAGGCACGCCGCAATCCCATCTCCAGCCGAAATGTCCAAAGACTTCCAGAGCCTGCATTCCCCAAGCCGCTAGCAAGACCTCCGAGCCTAAACCCCGCAGCCCAAACCCCAGAGCCTAAACCGGAAACCCTCAACCCTGAAACCCTAAAGCCATGAACCCAAAGCCCTCAAAACCCTAAAAACCCTAAACCCTAAACCCTAAACCCTAAACCCCTAACCCCTAAAGCCCTAAAGCACTAAAGCCCTACAGCCCGAAAGCCTTCAGAGAGTCCTCCCCAAGGGCAGCGTGCCACAGAGCCGCGGGCTGATCCGGATCCGACGGAGGAGGCAGATGTTTCACTGAACCCTGTAATATCGGGGTTTAGGGCTTGGGGTTTAGCTTAGGATTTGGGATTTAGGGCTTAGGGTTTAGGGTAGAGGGTTTAGGGTTTAGGGCGGGTTTAGGGTTTAGGGTATAGGGTTTAAGGCTAGGGTTTAGGGATCGGGGCCTCGATGACTAGAATACGGTTTGGGGTCATCTTCTGGCATATCTTTATATCGGCACCATGCAAGATTATGTATGTACTATTTTATCTACTATTCCTCTACTATTCCTAGTCACTCCGATGGCCAGTTTGTCCTGCATAGATCTTGATCTTAGATCATAAGATGCAGCCCGAAGCATGCTTTGCATCATTCTGGTTCCTGAACCCGAAACCCCAAATTGAGCAGACACCCTCAACTTAACTCCACATCTGCAGCCCTACACCCTAAGTGAAGCCCTACACCCATAGCCTGGAGCTTCAACCCTAAACCCTACACCCCCAATCCTAACTCCAAAGCCTTCCACCCTAAGTCCTCAGCCATAAATCCTCGACTCCCCCAGACATAAGCTGGAAAACGGAAGCAATGAAGCCCCCAACCTCTGAACGCAAAGCCCTAAACCCTAAACCCTAAACCCTAAACTCTAAACCCTAAACCCTAAACCCAACCTCTGAACGCAAAGCCCTAAGCCATGGAACGTCTCAAGCCCTGGTCTCCAAACATGAAGCCTCAGCAAGGAGCCTTGAACCCCAACCCTTGAAGCTGAAGCATAACAGCTTTCCCTAAGATTTAGGGTTTCGGGTTTAGGGTTTCGGGTTTAGGGTTTAGGGTTTAACCCCTAATCTGCTTTCATATCATGGTAGCAATAGCTTTTTGTGTTTTTTGTAGTGTAAATCTTAAACATCAGCTTCAAACCCTTTGTCCCCGAAGCGCTCAGCCCTAAACGTAACCGAAGCAATGAACCTTAAAAGTTCGATCCCGAATTAAAGAACTTCTAAACCCTCAAATCCCCCAAAATCACAACAAACATCTCGAAGCCCTAAATCCTCAAATCCTCAAGAACCACAATAAACACCCCCAAACCGGAAACCCAAAACCCAAAACCCTAAACCCTAAACCCAGAACCCGAAACCCTCGAGCCTCTGGCTCTTCTTGGCCGATCAGGACCTCCTCCCAAGCAATCAGAGGCCCGGGTTGACGGCTTCGGAGTTTTAGGGCGAAGCAGTTGAAGGTTTAGTGTTTAGGGTTTCAGGGTTTTAGGGTTTAGGGTTTAGGGTTTAGGGTTTAGGGTTTCATGGTTTTGAGGTTTAGTTTAGGGTTTCGGGTTTTAGGGTTGACAGTTTTGCAGGGCTTTACGTTCGGGTTTAGGTGTTATGATGAAGGTTTCGGGGTTCGGGCTCAGGGTGTAGGGGTTTAGAGCTAAAAGGTTTGCAGGGTTTAGGGTTAGGGGTACTTGGAGGTTCATGGGTAGTTATAAATAGGGTTATAAGTAGGATAACTATACTTATAACCCATATTAGGGGACCCTAAACCCTAAACCCTAAACCCTAAACCCTAAACCCTAAACCCTAAACCCTAAACCCTAAACCATAACCCTACTTATAACTACCCATGAACCTCCAAGTATAACCGGACAGTTGAGAGCTCCAGCAAGATGGAGCATGGAAGAAGGAGACTCGGCACTGGGATTTTTTGGGTTTAGGGTTTAGGGTTTAGGGTTTAGGGTTTAGGGTTTAGGGTTTAGGGTTTAGGGTTTAGGGTTATTCTTTCTTTACCTTAATGGGATCAGGACAATTATGTTCCATCCCTTTGTCGATTGCGGCAAAGGTTTAGGGTTTAAGGGTTCCGGGCTAGGGGTGTAAGGCTTCAAGCCAAGGCTTTTTAGGGCTTCACGGTTTGTGGTCTTGAGGTTTCGAGTTTGAGGCTGGAGATCAGTGTTTCCAGATTTTCGGGTTTTAACTTGTTGACTTCTCATGCACACACAGATCGATCCGGAATCGTAGTCTTAGGGAGATTGGGCTATCAGGGAGGAGTCAGGACTTGTTAGGTTTGGGGTAATATAGGGGCCGAAATAAGTACTTACACTGTGTTGGGGGTTCTTTATCATACATATAGTATAGTATAGTATAGTATACCTCAAAACCCTATTCTGATGATCAAGGCCCCTACATTAAGGGGTTTCCATGTCCAGGATTTGGGGTTGAGAAACAAACTGCCAACGCTTCGACTGCTTGCTCTGAGTCCTGGCCGAATGCTTCTGCGAAGGAGAGCGCCGCTGGGTGTTCATGAGGATGTGCTCCTAAACCCTAAGCCCTAAGCCCTACTATTTCAAAAAACCCTAAACTGGCATAGCACTAAGCCCCACTATTTTAAAAAACCCTAAACTGGCATAGCACTAAGCCCCAGTATTTTAAACAAAACCTTAAACTGGCATAGCACTAGCAGCCTTCGAGGCCGTCTAGCCGAGGCTGAACGGCTCGTTGCAAAGATGGACGGCAGAGCACCTACCGCGCCGCAAGAGGGGCCTTCGTCACAAGGGCTCCCTTTGTCCGAAGGGTTTAGGGTTTAGGATTTAGGGTTTAGGGTTTAGGGTTTAGGATTTAGGGTTTAGGGTTTAGGGTTTAGGGTTTAGGGTTTAGGATTTAGGGTTTAGGGTTTAGGGCTCGGTGCACTTCTATGGCGGCATGTGGCCACGGGTTGACACCATGCCCGGGTGAAAGAGCAGTGCAACAGTAGACTTGTTTATAGCGAATGGCAGTTCTTCGTCTATAGCTCTCTATTCCTAGCATGAATGCAAAGCCCGAAGCAAGCCTTAGAAGATTGTACTTCCAGATCAGGCACCCTCACCTTAACTTCAAGCCCAGCTCTGAACCCCAAACCCCAAACCCCAAACCTGGAATGAACCCCAAGCCATTAACACACCCCAAGACAACGACTCCAGACGCTGGATGTTTTAGGGTTGAGGGTATAGGGTTCAGGTTTTTGGGGATTTAGGGTTGAGGGTTTCGGGTTTTGGTTGAGGGTTGAGGGTTTAGGGCATAGTGCATAGGGGTCTAGACATTCGAAGCTGTTGGAGGCATCCCCGAGTCGCTCCAGCGTGGCTCAAGCACGAGAAGCAGGCAGTTGGAAGAGCCTGCGAGATGGGGGTTTGGCTTGAGGATTTAGTACGTAAATTGGGGTTTGGCTTAGGTGTTGGTTTAAAGGCGCAAGGGTTTGGCTTAAGGGTTGAAGAGCCCGTTTTAAAAGGGTAGTTTTTGGCTTAAGGGCTTCAGGGTTCATGGCGATGCGGCTTCTGGGTTCAGGGCTCAGGGTTTAGAGTTCACCCTCCGGTTTAGGTTCAGAGTTCAGGGTTTAGGGTTGAGGGGTTCAGGGTTTAGGGTCCTGGATTCGGCCATACAGACGAGATATTTTGGCATGACGCCGCAGGTGCTTCGCTTCTACGCCTTCTTCCAGGACAGAGCGTGTAAAGGGTTCATAAACCAGAACTCTAGAAATCCCACTTTGGAATGTTCTGAAGGCTAGGTTAGGGCTGCGGGGTTCAGGTTTAGCGTCACCCCGAAGAACCTACCGTTCAAGGACTTATATGAAGAAGCCATACCATACTGCCGAACCTGAAAACGGTGTTTTTTTCTGATTCAAGTAGTGTTTAGGGTGCAAGGGTTTGGAAGTGACTTGTTCAATGTGTGTTGAAGCGGAACCGTTTCCGTGCAACCGTGATGTCGGCGTTCAGAAGCGACCTCTGCATGATCAGGCATTGTTTCATTTTTGCGGTAGGTCGATATCGTTGCCACAAGGCCTTCGCTCATGTTATAGGCCCCCAGTGAGGTTGCAACCGTGACCCTCATTTCTTAACGTGCTGAAATATCTGCAGTTCTAGAATCCAGAATCCGTTGAGGTGGCTCACATTGAGAATGTAGAGCCAAGCTTTGACGACGCCATGGCCGAAGTCAACTCGAGAGAGGCCCTGCTCCAGGCTGGCGTCTCTCAGGCGCAAGTGGAGGATGTTCTCCGGAACCTGCAGTCGCAGCAGCTGGTTCTGGCTCCTGCTCCGGATCCCCAAAAATCGTTTTCAACGGCTCTCTGGCGTGAAGAATTCTCACCACTGAGCAAGGGGCAACTTGAGGAAATGAAGAGAGTATGCAGCCTCTCGGAAAGCGATTTCGATGCCCTTAGCGATATCCTTGAAAGGAGCTATCGATTCCACAGACGCCTCGGGATTGGCATGATGGCATGTATGTTCGTCACGGGGCTCTCGGCGATCCTCTTATTGCTGTCAGGAAGAGCCTTTGAAAGGGGCGGTGACCCGCCTCCATCCTATGTAGGGGCGGTGACTTCGGCTGTTGTCTGCTTGTGCCTGGTGTTTGTGCATGAGTGTGCACTGCCCAGATCAAATCGTCAGATCGCCAGCGATCTCAACCAACACTTCCGGGGGCATGCAAGCAACTTGAGCTTCCAGATCGCCGTCACAGACACGAATTGTTGCATGGAGAAGGGATGGCGACTCGTGGTGTGCTTTGAAGCCAGGGCTGATGGAAGCGTTTGATTCCACTGGCTTTTTCTGCCGCAGCTCGGGGCTTGCCCGAGCTGCTGTTAACCAACTTTTCCGTGGTTGGCGGAAGAAAACAGCGAACTTGCAAGGACAGTGAACGACATCCAGTCAAGCTGACCAGTTGTTCGCTCAAGGCGAACTTCAGCTGAAACCTGAGTCTCAAAATCCCCAATGGATTCTAAACCGCTGGGGCACTGAAGAGCTCGCATCTCGTGAGGTCCACACAGCTCAGAACATGACCCCCGCCCCGCCAAGCAACATTTGAGCAAGAGGATGGCGATTTTTAGTTAGACTCCAACACCCAGGTTTAAAGTGCCCATGCACCAGGAGACCGTCACCGAGCGACCCGACGAGAACTGCCGCAAGAGGAACGTGGTCATAATGTTCCGACCTCAACTTCAGTAGCTCAAGAGTTGCAAGCCCTGAGGCTCCGATTAAGACGCACCCTCGAAAGGTACTACCTGGAAGATGGCACCATGAGCATGTCCGAGCCGCGCATAGAGAACTCCGGGATAGTGCAAGGTGCACCGGGCGCAGTTATTCTCGACCACATATCGCAACGGGATGATTTCGCTTTCTGATGGTTAAGGTTACCTACCCAACTAATCAGAGAGCCGTGAAGTTTAAGGTTGCATCGTTCTTGTTTAACGGATTCCAGGTGTGATGGAGCTTGTGTTGCCATGCGGGCAGTCCCAAGTCGGTGCTCGCACTGGGATGCCGTGCAACTTTAGGGTTTAGGGGCTTTTTGTTCATCTTGGAGCTTGTTGGTGTGGTGCTGGGATTTAGTTGGCCAGCTACATGTAGGCGGTGGAAATCCGTCGACAATGGAGAGTACTAACGGAACCAGGGAAGCATTGCTCTTCGGACACAGGAGAACTCGGAAGGATCACTGTCTTGGACAGCTCTTAGGGAGTAGGGTTTAGGTTTTTGTTGCGTTTTAGAGCTTAGTACAATATCTAAGTATCTCCTTTCAGAACCGATGGGTGTAGCAGGCATCGGTTCAAAGTTCGCTGGAAGGTCATCTGATCCTCCTGACCATCCCACCCTATCAGGTTTGTTTCAAAACGGGTTTCCCAAAGCCCACCTACCCCTGAACCCTGAATCCCCAAAAGCAGACTAAAGCCTCTAAACCCTACACCCTAAACCCTAAACCGTAAACCCTAAAGCCCTGACGCCTTTGCGGTTAAGCTCTAGGAGGGTTTGTTCGTGTCGGGACTTCAGATTGAGGCTTATACCCTAAACCCTAAACCCTAAACCCTAAACCCTAAACCCTAAACCCCAAACCCCAAACCCTAAACCCTAAACCCTAAACCAACCCAAGCCCAAAGCCTAAGCCCTAAAACCCTGGTGATGAATGGCAGGCCTTTTCTTGCGAAGGCAGCGAGTGGAGCGTCCGGAGGGGGGAGGCTTGCTTGCTGCCGATTGCTCTTTAGGGCTTGGGGTTTAGGGTTTAGGGTTTGGGGTGTAGGGTTTAGGGTTTAGGGTTTACGGCTTAGGGTTTAGCGTTTAGGGTTTAGGGCTTAGGGTTTAGGGTTTTAGGGTTTAGGGTGTAAGTTTTAGGGTTTATTGTAGCTCTAAGGTACAGGCACAGGGTTTCGATGGTCTTCAGCGATGGTTTCAAGCAGGTCATTTTGTTGGTCGAACTACCCTCAGCAGGGGTGTTCCGGTTCTACCAAAACCTGTTACCGTCATTGAGCCTCCGTTGTCGGGATCCCAAGATGGCTTCGGAAGCGTTGATGCAATAAAGCGCGCGCAGTGGAACATAGGGGGCTTCAAGAGGCTAGTCGTAGCAGTAGTCGTAGTCGTCATAGTCGTAGTGGAGCAGGAGCAGAAGCAGGAGTCGGTAGTAGGAGGCGCTCGAGCATCAGCAGCTCTAGTACATCCAACCCTAAGCTCTACACCCAGCCGCCGAGCCATAACCACCCGAAACCTGAAGTCCCAACTTCTCCAGCCTGAGCCCTAAAGCGCCTAACCCCAAAACCCACAATGTCGGGGCCTCGATAATGAGACTAGGGTTTCGGGGCCCCAAAGCCCATATCCGAAACCAGACCAAGCCCCTAAACACCAAACCCAAAGCCCTAAACCCTCAACCCTCAACCCTCAACCCTAAACCCTAAACCCTAAACCCTAAACCCTAAACCCTAAACCCTAAACCCTCAACCCCAGTGCAAGCCACGCAACCCCCAAGCAGACTGAAGGAATCTTCAAGCCCAGCGACTTCCGCTGCGGCATGGAAGTCAGCTTCTTTGGAAGGCGCCTGGGCTTAAAGGATTATGTTGCTGCTTTTAGGATGCTTCTATGGGGTTTAGGTCCAGGGCCTATGTTTTTTCGGGTTTTGGGATTTGGTTTTGGGTTTCGGGGTTTAAGTGTTTTGGGGTTGGCGGGGTTCAGTATCTAGATGTTTCGGGTGTCGGCGCTTCGGGGTTTGGGTTTCGAGGCCGAGGGCTAAACCCTAAACCCTAAACCCTAAAATTTAAACCCTAAACCCGATTTGGGAGTTAGTTCTGGAGGTTTGGGAGGAGAGGTTGGGACCTTCGGGTTACAGGGTCTCAGGAAAGGGGCCTTAATGATTAGAGTAGGGCTTAGGGGTATGTTATACTATAGTGATCACAAGGAACCCCCAAAACCCCTATTCTAATTCTTGAGGCCCCCACATTAGGGCGTTTAGGCTTGCCGGGCTTCCTTGGATTCGTAGAGGGGGTCATGTTGAAGCCTTCCAACGGGTTTAGGGTTTAGGGTTTAGGGGGTGTGCGAGGACCTACCACATTACCGGATGCGATCGCTTCACGCGCTGGTACTTCAGCGAGCTCGGCTTAGAGGCGGGCGAAGACGAGGAGGCGCGGTCGGCATCTTATGCTGGGTCTTAAAACCTTTAATAAGGTGAGGCCTTATACTATTATAGCATCCGCAAAGGGACGCCGAAGCCGTGTCATCACCTGCACCTGCTCATCTTGGGGTCTGGGGCGCTGGATATATTTGAGGTCAACTTTGGGGATGAGGGCTTGTAGTTCTGGGCTCGGGCCTCGTAGGGTTCAGGACTCGGAGCATATGCTTTCCTTTGGCGTTTTGCTTGCATTCAGGCGGAAGAGACGCAGTGAGGCTTAAATGCACGTACTTCTGCTTCAGGTATTTGGGTAGGAGCTATTCTATTTCGCATCCTGATTGACGTTGTTTCTGCCTCGAGGCTGCAGGACGCAGCCCTTATCACAAGCCTACACTCAGAATCTGCAAACCAGCCCGAAGAAGCTCAACAGAGATTCTTAAACTGTCCTCAAGATCCCTACGCCCCGAGTCCTAAACCCCAAAGTCCCTCAAACCCAAGCCTCGAAGACCTGAACCCCCAAAGTCCTCCACCCCCTCAAAGACCGGAAAACTTCGAGGCCTAAACCCTAAACCCTAAACCCTAAACCCTAAACCCTAAACCCTAAACCCTAAACCCTAAACCCTGAGCCCCGAAGCCTCCGAGCTACCGGAACTCTGAGGTGCTGGATGATGCTTGGCACACCAACTACAAGCTCCGGCGACCCGTCCAAAGAATGAGAGTCAATCTCAGCTTGTTTGCTATTAGGGTTTAGGGTTTAGGGTTTAGGGTTTAGGGTTTAGGGTTTAGTAGGTTTAAAAGCTTCAGGGCTTGCAGTAGGGTTGTTGTTAGTAAGTTGCTGCCTTGGTTGAAGGTATGATCATGAAGGTACGCCCCCGATGAATCGCCTCCTTCCCGCAGGTTCATGATTGCCTTCAAAGCAGCGGGGGATCCCCAACGCAGCACCTTTCTTGTTAGTCACATAAGGGCTTCCGGCTTCAGGCTTTTTCGGGGTTCAGGTTTCAGGGCTCGGGTTGTCTATACGAAGATTTGCGGGGGCCTTTCAGCTAGAAGTTCCAGAAGTGTGCTTACACACTGTGATGGGTTTCATAAGTTGTCATGTTTTATTTGCAGGGCCTCAATGATTACGACACGGTTCGGGGTAGTATAAGCACCCAGGGACTCTAAGGGCATGTTACTACCAAGTTTTCCGAGCCCTTTGTGGTTCCGATATTACTGCGAAAAATCCATGGACCCGGAAAGCCCTAATCCCCAGGACGTGCACTCTCAACAGCCCCAAGCCCGAATCCCAGGAAGTGCGCCGAACGCGGCGCACTCCCTTCCTCGAAGTTTGCGGTGGAGCAGAAGACGATTGGCCAGCTTCTGTGGCTGTGGGATTCAGCTTCGAAGGAGTAGTGCTTTGGGTCGAGGGTTTAGGGGCTTAGGGCCTGGTATTTAGGGACGTTTGGGGTAGGGATAAGAGAGGGGCCTCAGGTTCGTAGCCACACCCAAACCTCAGAGAGCCGCAAACTGCCACCCAAAGCCCTGACAACATAAACTTCTGCAACCCTACATAGGGTTTAGGGTTTAGGGTTTAGGGTTTAGGGTTTAGGGCAGATAAAGGATGTACTGCTAAAATCACCTTTCAAGCCAAAAAGGCTTTGTAAAGCTCTCCTTCCAAGACCGCTGAGAGCCGCTCAGAGAAGGTCATCTTGCTCAGATTTGAATGTCTGCGCCTTAAGCCTTATACCCTCACGTCTTGATTTCCACACCCCCCCTCCCAAAACCCTAAACCCTAAACCCCAAGCCCAAATCTAAAGCCCTACATCAAACCTGGGCCCGAATCTCCAAGCTCTACACCCTAAACCCTAACCCCAGAGGTCCTGCAAACCCTGAGGCCTCTCAGTATGAAAAGGTGTTGACCCCAAGCCCCCTCTAAAGCCCCTAAAACCCTACAACCCTAACCCCGACAGCCTAAATCCCTATAAAGCTTGAAGCCCTGAACCCTAGGCCCTAAACCCCAAACCTAAGCCCGAAATCCTAAACCCCAAACCCTAAACCCTAAACCCGAAACCCTAAACCCTAAACCCTAAACCCCAAAACCCCAAAACCCAAAACCACAAACCCCAAAACCCCAAAGCCGCCAAACCCTACACCCTAAACGCTAAGGTTCCAGATGGGTGCGCCCCCCGTCTCCAAGAAGCTGACGCAGTTCGTCCTCAACGCCCGGAGCACGGCTGGGGGTTGAGGGTTTAGGGTTCCGGATTTTGGGATACTTTAGGTTCAAGGGTTTAGGGTTCCGGATTTTGGGGATACTTTAGGTTCAAGGGTTTAGGGTGACCTTTTTCGCTAACTTTTTTCTGATTTTAGACTTTACAACTTAACGATTCTGGTATCTAACGACTATTTCTAGTCCTGTGGCTGTTGGGATGGTTCTGGGGTATCAAAGCTTAGGACTTGGGATTTCGATTTTGACAGCCAGGCTTATAAGTAGCTTTCAATATCTCTGCCTGTGGGAGGCTCCAGAGCTCTCCAAAACGGTAGGCAGTTGTTTATTCCGAACTTACATTCCGAGCAAGTTTGCACCACACACGTTAACGATAAGAGCCTAGAGCGCTTTTTGAGGGATGGTCCGAATCTGCACAGCCTGGTACTGCTGCCGCTGCTTTTGCGGATGCTGCTGCAACTGTTATTACTATTTTCATCATTGTTGCTATTGTTGTTCGTATTTCTACCATTCTACCACTACTCCTCTTGCTGCTGCTGCTGCTGCTGCTGCTGCTGCTGCTGCCTCTGCTGCCTCTGCTGCTGCTGCTGCTGCTGCTGCTGCTGCTGCTGCTTACCACCCGAATGCCTTGCTGCCGTGTTACCCTGCTACCCTTTGCGCAGATATATGAACCACGGTGAAGCTTCAAGTTTGGGCTTTTGGGTTTCTGTTTCAGGCTCCCAACACCCCAAGCTCATTCCAAAACCCTAGTTCCTAAAATCCTAGAGCCCTGAACCCTAATCCACCCTCAATCCTTCAGGACAGGAAGGTCCTGCGCTTCAAGGGCTACTGGGATGACAACACCCTCTATGGAGCCACTTTGGCTTGAGAAGAACTTGAAAGCTTGGGAGTTGGGGGGATGGGTTCGGGTGTAGATGCTACAGTCCGAAGCTGGCTACGTGGGCAGTAGTTGACCATGGCCTGAAACCCTGCGCCCTGTGCTTCGACCCTAAATACGAGAGCTGCGAGTTGATTCTGATTGCTTGAGTGTTGTTTCCAATTAGACAAGGATGCTTTATAAGATAGTTCACATCGCAAAAGAAACAGTTTCGCACAGTAAGTCCTGCAAGGCTTCCTTAGTCGACATCCAAAAGCAGTGTTGAAGCAGAAGCCTGTTCTGGCTGTGACCCAGCCAAAGCTTCGATATGTAGCTTCGCATTTCGGGCTTCCTCTCTTCTGGGTGGCTAGTTTTGCGGCCTTTAATCATGAGACATCCGACTGTACTCGGAGTAGCAAGACCCGCGACATCCTAGTCGAATCTTTCGGCCTTTGTATCAAGCCTCAAGCTTCAGGGTCCAGGGCCTAAGCGCTCGAGTTAGGGGGCCCTGGGCTTTGATAGATTGCGAACCGGCAGATGGGGTATGGGAGAGTTTGGCCGAGAAGTCTAGGAAGAAGGTGCCAAGCTGTAGCCGGCATGATACTTCCGCGGTTAGCCTCGGATGTCCAGGCCCGCATCTACTTCAACATCCACTACTACCTCGCAGACAACACCATGGAGTTCAATGAGGCATCGAGGGAGCTGCCGATTTATTAGAAGGAGTTTCGGGTTTGGGTCTCGGCTTGGTGTTTGGGGCTGAAGATTCAGAGTTTGGGATTCGTGGTTTGCTGAAACCTCAACTGTCGCAGGCTTGTTCCTGGATTTTTGTTTTGCAAAGGGCCCCTATTTTGAAGTGCTCTCCTTCGGCCATCAACATTCGCCGAAAACACTATGAGATGTGATGTATAACCCTAATCCACGGGTGTGGCGGTTCGCTCACAATCCCTCGACGGGCTTCATCGCTCCCGCTCCCTACCCTTACCGACAATTCTTAGCCCTACGCCACGCTCCCTCGAACTACTATAATTGACTATAATTACCCTAAATCCTCATCCCAAAACCGAAGCGACGCCGTTGCCATGAGCCAGGCGCACTGCCGGAACTCTGGCAGATACCCGGCTCCTGTCACTTGGCACCTGAACCCCGTTGCATCAACTACACCTGACCCCCTTACTCTCAGCCTTGTCGCCCAACGCTGCTCTGGAACAAAGGGGGCCCCCCATCTGCCCGGTCTAGAGTCTAGGACGGGGGCCCAGATCATTCATTTGGGTAGTTCTCCAAGTCAGAGCTGCGTACTCGTTTGGGAATCCACAGAGGCATCAGTAGAAAGAAGACGACCCATTTGTACCACAGCATCCCAGATCTTCTTCAAGCGCGGTGTCTTGAAGAAGAAGAACGTGGCGCATTGCTGCTCAGCTGCATGCGTTGCTTCGTGTTTATAGGTCGACGAAAAAAAGGAAAATATCATTGGGGTTTCGGTTTGTAGGTCACAAGCCTTTACCCGGAAGTCTGAACTGCCATCAGCTCGTTAAACAACTATCTAGTGTAACCTCCGAATCCAAAGTCTGGCAACCTGAGCTCTTCCTTACACCCCCCTCCCCGTTATCCAGGACCACCAAAGGCGTCGCAAGCACTAGGAAGCACGTAGTAACTTGCTTAGGAAGGCGCCTCTGGTCTCCTGGAAGTAGGGCGAGTGGGGTCAGATTTCCATGATGATACCACACCCGAACCCACAGTCCTAAGACCCCAACAAAGCCCTTACAGTTTATAGTGGATACCGAGCGGCCTCTGCAGTAAGGCGTCCCAGCAATGCTCTCCGACGAGTCGGGTTTCTACCGCCCGGAGGTTGCCTGGGCGTTCAGGGTTTGGGAGTTTAGGGCCTGCGGGGTTTTCGGGTTCTGGTGGTTTTGAGGCTTTTACGCTTTTCCGGTGCCAGGGTTGAGGGTTTTCGGTTTCAGTTAGGACATTCAGGTTAAGAGTGTTGCGGCTTTGAGGGTTAGAGTGTTTACGATTTAGAGCGGAACTTTCACCGAACATATGATGGTTATTCGGAGTTTCGAGTTGAATGACTTCAAATTGCTTTAAACTCGAAACCCTGATCCCTTCCTAAACCCGAAACCCTAAACCCTGAGCCATCCTGAAGCATCCTGAAGGAGGCAGATGCCGGGTGCAGGGAGGTTGTGTTAAGTTCATCTGGTGCAAAGGGGTGAATTTGGCTTTGAGGATGTAGGATATAGGTTTGAACCCCTAAAGCATCTCAAGACGACGGACAAGTCCTAAAGCCCGACCGACTTTGCAGGACCTTCGTGTCGGCGAGTCCATCGATGTTTGGGGTCGCAAGGCTTTGCCGGGTTCAGGTTTTAGCGATTTCGGGGTTTAGGTTTTGAAGATGTTGAAGGTTTGTGGGTTTTGGGTGCAGGGCTTGCTTGCTTTGGGCTGGATTTGAGGTTGAGGGTTCGGGGCACGGTGGGTTTTACTAGGTTTGCAACTGACGTGTGTCACTGTCAGGGAACTTCGATCATTGGTTGGTCTTCGTGGTTTTTGAATGCTATGAAAGTTGAAGCATGCAGAAGTAAGCGGCACCCTCTTCGGACCTTGAGCCATGAGCCTCGAGAGACAGGGGCAAATGGACGTCGCAAGAGGACGTCTGTCCAAAACAGCCAAACAAGGGAGTGCGCAGTTAAAGTGTGCCATGTTGTCCACGGTAGCAGTGTTGCTTGCGTTTGCAGCGCTCTGTTGTCATTCACGCTTCGGAATTTACAGGGCAAAGGGCATGTGCTGCTCAGAAGCACCTGCACAAACCCCTAAAGTCTAAACTCTATGCCGTCATGGGCCTTTGAGCCCATGGGAGATCGGCCTTGCCTGTTGCAGGTGGTCCTCTTCGACTGCGACGACTTCACGCAGAAGTTCTACAAGGAGACCCTCAAGTTAGGGTCTCGCCTTGTTTCGGCCGCTCTCTTTAGCAGTGCTATAAAGGCAAAGATCCTCCCATTCAAGGACTATGCACGATGAAGTTCCGTACTTGCTGTAGTTCTGAAGTAGTTCTTCAGGATTCAGCGGTTGAGGCTTCGGGATGTCAGGTCAAGTGGCTTTCGGGAAGCCAGCGCCGCGCCCAAAAATGAGAGTTCCGTAAAGTCACCAAGCCGTAGTCTGAAGAAAACAAGATAGCCCTCAGCATCACTATGACGAGCTTCTGGCTTGATGCAAAGGCTTGCAGGTACGTTGTTTGGCTGTGAGTTTGGTGTACGGCTTTTTGCGCTTCGGCCAGGGTCAGAAGAACGATGCGCCTGCCTAAACCCGCAACCCCTAAACCCTTAGGTGCTGTCCTACACCTTAAACCCGAAGCCGCCAAAGCCTTGACCCTAGACTTTAATCCTTGGACCCCAAACCCTAAACCGTTGACCCTAAACCCCAAACATTGAACCTTAGACCCTGAAACCTAAACCTGAAATCCCACACGCCGCACCGTACCATGGAGTCTGTCTCCGTTTGAGCCTTTCGAGTTCTGCTGCCCTGGAGCCTAAACCCAGCGACTTCCAAAGCCCCCGGGGTATAAAGCGGTTTAGGGCTTAGAGCTTCGAAAGCAGTATAACTTGCAGATGTATGGGGGTTTCAATTACAGCATTTAGAGCTTAGAAAGCAGTAGAGCTTGCAGCTGTATGGGGGGATTCCGACTACAGCATAGTCCTTAACTGTTGGGCGTTGGTGTCGTTGGGAACCCAGGGCGCCCTCAGCCTTGAATCCTCAACCCGAAGCTTCACCGGTCGCTCAATTTCATGAGGGTCTAGGGGTTTAGGGTTTTGGGGGTTTAGGGTTTAGGGGTTTAGGGGTTTAGGGGTTTAGGGGTTTAGGGGTTTAGGGTTTAGGGTTTGGGGTTTAAGGGGGCTTGTTGAGCAACTCGCCTGCAGGACTACATGGGCATCAACCAGCGGGACTCGGTCATCGACGTCTCAGAGAAGCCGATGCGACACCTGAAGTGCCCTGCGCAGTTTTGTGTGCAGAGCTCTGGGTGGGGTTTGAGGCTTTAGGCCCTAAAGAATACTGCTTGACAGTGGGTTAATTGCATGCAATTCCGTTTAAAATCCGAAGCTGAACCGTAGGAATGATAAAGCCTGCACTTTGTGGTCATGTGGGAGCTATGCCGTAACCGTGTGTTCGGCTCAAGCTGCTGTTGGGGCAAGAGGCCGTCCGAGAACTGCAGGCATCATGGCTTTACGATTGCTGGAGGACAGGAACCATTACGTTACCACCCAAGACCTTTACAACCTACTGTCTGTGCCTGGACTGAGCGAGCTGG